CTTCTTTTTTTTCCCCCCCTGATCCTTGCAAAGAGCTGCTTATGAGCTCCTCTGACATTCCTCACCAGCTCACACGTGGCTTCTGCAAACACCCCCGGCGCTGCTTCCCCCCCCCAGTGCAGCCTCAATGCTGCATTCATTGCTGCTTGCAGAGCCGTGCCCAGAGGTGGGGACCAACATGGGCCGTGTGCTGCAGGATGCTCCATCACATCTACACAAAACAACCCCAAAATCCATGTCTGAAACGCTTCCATCCCTCTCCGCCCGCAGCCTTGCACCGGCTACAGGTTGTTAAACGGATCCCTTTTGTTTGGGTTTTGTCACAAAGGTTCCCTCCTGCACCAGCGTGCCTGGGGAGCCTTCTCCACCTGCTCCTCCCTGGGTTTGGCTCGTGGTTCCCAAGAGGTTGGGCTGCACGGTCCTTGTGGATCCCTTCCAATTTGGGATCACTGAGGATCTTAGGATTCTGCTGTTCCCAGCTGTGCCACAATAGCAGGACGTGGTTATTCCTCCCCTGGATTTGGTGGGATGAGCTGCTCGTCCTTCCCATGAAGTGAGGCAGAGAGCTGCAGTTCTGGGGTCTGCTGCCCTTTCAGAGGTCAGTTGGGTCCTTTAAGGTGTCCAAAGGCCACTGCTGGAGGAGCCCAGGGCTGAGTCCCCCCCCACCTGTGGTTGGTGAGGAGGAATGGCCTCAAGTCTTTGTGCACGCTGTGAGCAAAACGTGCCCTGCGCCCCAGGGTCCCCAGCGCAGCCCTGAGCTCCACGGGGTCCTCCAGGGCCTCTGGGTGGCTCATGGGTGAGGGGGGGGGCTGCAAAGTGGCTGCAAAGTGGGGGCACCTCGGCACAGCGTGGGGATCCATGGGGACACCTCAGTTTGTCAGTGGGGAGCTTCAGGCGTGGGGACACCACGACACAGCATGGGGGCACCTTTGTGCATCACAGGGGCATTGCATGGGGACATTGAATGGGGACATTGCATGGGGACATTTAATGGGGACATTCCAGGGCACCTCAACCACGAGGACACCACGGTGCTCCATGGTGACACCTGGAAACACCATGAGGACACCATAACACACCACGGGCACAACTCGACGCATTACGAGGACACCACGGGGACACCAAAAACCCACAACCAGAATGTCACAGCATCCAACGGGGACACCTGAACTCACCGTGGGGACACCACAGTGCTCTATGGGGACACCAGAACGCACCGTGGGCGCAGCTCAACCCAACACCCAACCTAACAATGATGTGTCACCACGGTGCCACCCCCTGGTCCCACACACCCCGATTTCTCCATCTCAGATCACTCCTTCCCCTTTGCCTTCATTAAAGCCATCAGCTCAGACGAGGGGATGCAGCATTAATTAAAAAGAAGCCGTTCCGGATAAAAATACCCCTTTGTAGGGCTGCAGTGTGGCTGCATGTTGCGATTGGCATCTGTATTGTTGGGTAAACTTTGTCGGGAACATCAGCCTTTCCGGGCTTCTTCCCGGCGCTGCGGTCCTCAGCCCAGCCCCAGATTTATGGCATGTATGGACACAGGGGCCCTTGTGCCTGTTGGCACCCCAAATAGGAGTTTTTGGGAATCTTGTGATGTGGGGATGAGCCATTAGGGTTAATTTGTGGCGTTTCAGGGCTTGAAGGGGGGGGGATCAATACCTGCATTTCATTCATACCCCCCCCAACGTTCTCTTGGGGGAGGGGGAAAATCAACCCCTGCATCCCATTCAGATCCAGAGGTGACATCTGGGGGTGCTGTGTGACATCTGGGGGGGTCCTACGGGAGCCCCATC